GAGAGGCTGATCATAGTGAAGAGATGGAGGAAGGCACGGAGGATACCCCGACTCAGTACGAGCCGTCCCAATACCAGAGCTTACTCGCCTGGAACCCAGTCCATGCAGGTGAGACCACCCTCGCACAGCTCTCAGCCTCGGATGACGAGCACCCCACGGAGACACCGGCTGCCAGCTCACACACTCCGCAAGCCAGCCCAGACCACCCACAGCACTCATGCACGAGAGACACAGCCGGTCCCTATGTGTCACTGGAGGGGAAGAAGCAAACCTCAATGGCACCTACCAACAGGCACACATGCCGAACACCACCTTCCAGGGTCACTGCGCTTCCCGCTGTCGGGAGTCAGCTGACCAGGGACTTACCTTCCACGGCAGAAGTCATGCCAGAGCTATCTGACCTGCCGGACTCCTGTGGACGCCACATGGTCTAAGGACAAGGTTCTATGTGTAACATTTGCTCTCTCACTTGAAACAACTCTCTTTTTGGCTGGATTATTTACTTGCTGGAGCCCTGACACTAGCCAGTCTGCTTATATGCCACTCCACGTTTTGATGTTAGCAGTGGGGGGTGCCCGGAGAAAGAAACATGTCAGTTTTAACAATAGTTAATCGCTTATTGTGTTATTATCTTTGATAAGTCTACTAAGCATGGAATGATTGAGCCTAAACGAAGTATGACATACACTGAGGCATGATGTCATTCCCGCTGCATTTATCCAGCCAGCACATTCACCTTCTGAAAACTCTAGATAGCATGATATACGTTTCCCTTTATTGGTTTCCAAACACAACCGACCTAGCATTGTTAATTATTATAATTTTCCACTTTCATCATTTTAAGTTAACATCGTTTTAAGTTAACCTCATCAGTACCCAGCAGCATATGTCGATACACAACCTAACCATGATGCTTAGACTACAACTAACAGAAACACACACATGAACAGCCCTGTTCATCATCACATCATAATAGTACGAGACTTGAGTATGTGATGTAGATTGTTTAATGTTATATGTACCTACACTTACTGCTATAGGCACACGGCCTGTCTTCACAATGCCAATTCGTTAGACGCAACCTGCGCTATGACCATAACTGTTTATAGCCTAAAAACAAAAATGTGCTTGTTCTATCATGTACCTATATGTTTAACTACTGTTTTACTGCACTGGAGGATTGCCTTTGGGGTACCTCACAAGCGAGTGTTATAAATCCTACGCACAACAAAAATAAAGAATTTTAAAAAAAAAATGCACAGTGGGACTAGCCGTAGTAGCTGGGGGAGAAGATAAGACACATTGATTCCCTGAAACTTGACCTTTAAGCTAAAAACAAGAAGTTCTGGTAAGGAGTGTTTGCAGAACCTGCGCAAACTGATCCATCCTGTGATCAAATTTCTCCATTCTAGACTCCCTAGAAGCTAATTATTGCCCCATGCTTGCAGGTGTCATTATGTCAAAGTTAGACACCCTAACATGCAAACAGTGAGGCAAATTCTACCTTATATAATACAGATGTATGACCAGGCCTTAGAGTGGCCTGACTTAATGTAATACTGTAAACAAATTGTCAGAAACAAGCCAAAGTGAGGATAGGAGAGATGGATTAACAAGAATAACAG